TGGGAAGTGCGGTCGGCCTCGGGTACCACCATGGGCTCAGGCACGGCGTCCTCTGCCGCGAACAGGTCGCGGTTGAGCGGACTTGTGGACGCAAGTCAACAAGAGAATCCCAGGCTCACTTCGCTTATGAAAGAGAAGAGCCCACCACGTTCGCGCAGCGGGATTGGAGGAGGAGCGAGAACCTCGTCAGGAGCTCTTACGGCGCGGTCTCATAATGTGAGGCCGGGTCAGACTCGCATTTCCGGCACGATTCCTCGCAAGAGACAGATGGAGGACAATGACGACGAGGATGTTATTGACCTCTGCGGCGACGACGGTCCGTCTCTCGGAGGACGTCTCGGAGGAGGAGGAGCCTCGGGAGGGAGCAAGAGGGTCAAGAGCACTCCGGTCTTCAACCTTCTTGACGATGACCCTTTCGGCGAGGATTAATGGAGAGGGGCTGAAGTTCGTTGGTATTGGCATGAGCACAGCGCGTTGGAGCATCGGTGAGCATTTACTTCACTGGACATGGTTTGGTGATATTCCATTGGTATAAAGGGCTTTCTCTTTCCTGGATTGCAGGATGGAACGGTAATTACGGGAGAGGGCGTTTGGTCGAGATGTTTCCCTTTTTTCCCTTTTTCTTTCTGCTGCCTCGGAGGGGCGCACATAGGCGATTTGCACGATACCCATCTTTATAGACGTTTTAGAACTCAAAAATGCACTGCTCTTTTCTCTTTACCTTGAATCGATAGAGAATGATAGTCATCATGAATCATTTGTATTTGGATGACATGTCATTACTACGCTTTAAAGCACTGCTTTCCCAACTTTGCGTGCCCTGCTTTTGGGGGAGGGGGGGATGCCTTCTGTATTGGATACCAGAAGAGTTTACATCACATAGAGAAGATCCGTGTCTAAACGACAATTAGTATTATGTATAAGAAGTAAAGAACACATGAACGACAAGTGGATGGACGCGGCTTACCGATGGGGTGACTGCTTGAAAGTTGAGGCAGCTGGGTGTACTTCTCCTCCAGGACCTCACGAATGCTGTTGAGCAGCTCGACGTAGCTTTGCTGGGGATTCTTCTTAAGAGCAGTGATGAAAGCGTACGACATGGCTCCCGTGGCTTGGTTCGCAATGGTAGCGTCGGCACTAGAGAACAACATTTGTTAGATCTTACAACTCTCTGCCCCCGCTTCAAAGCACGATAGACAAGAGAACTCACGATGTCTGACTGTCCTTGCTGCCGGACCACATGATGACGTCGGCGGGAGAGGTACGCGTGTCCTTGGTCTTTTCGTAGGCATCGTCGCCGGCAATGGCGCGCTTGCCGAAGCTGAAGATGGAGCTCGCGACACCACCTAGGTCGCCTGAGGTGTAAGCCGTGAATGCCTTGAGCAGTCCCTGACCGGCTTCCTTGGCCAGATTGGGCTCCTTGAGAACGCCCTTGGTGGAGTAGATGTAGGGCAGGTCGAGGGCTGAACCAGAGTGGCATGAGTCGAAGATGGCTGTAAGTCTCACACCAGGCTGAAGGGGTCGGACCATGATGAGATGCATTTCGTCATCGACAATGTGACCGGCTTCCTTGTAATCAACCGGGTAGATGACTTCGTCGTAGCCGTCATCTTCATCGCCATCAAGATCCTCGGTCTGGCCGCCGTGACCAGAGTAGTGGAAGAACAAGGAATCATTTGGCTGTGCGCCCTGAACGAGCCAGTGCATGGCTCGGAGGATGTTGTTCTTCGTGGGCTGGCCCATGGCCTGCTGCTGATCGTCGGTGAGGATGACCATGTCTTCACGCTTGTAGCCGTACTTTTCTACCAGGAAGGCCGACAGGTTCTTGACGTCGTTGATGCAGCCGCGCAGCTCACCATCCTGGCCAAAGTAGTTGATGCCGATGAGGAGAGCTTTCCTCTTACCCTGACAGGTGGAATACTGAAAGCTGTAGCCATCGGGAGCGCCGTGGCCGAACTGCTGAGCGCCTGAAGGCGGGGGAGGGGGCGCGTTTCGGTTGCCGTGAGCCCAGTCGTTGGAGTTTACCGTGGGCATATCTGAGTTGAATCAGTACGCATGATACTTGAAAGAAGCGAGGTATGTGATACTCACGGGGTCTTCCCTGGTGGCCGGAATTGACAGGGTAGCCGTATACGTCGAGGCCCGGAGGCGGAGGATGGGAAGGGGGTGCATACCTTCCGATGTAGCCCTGGTCCGGGTGCGGGTTGGGCGGTGCCTGGTTATAGCCGTAGCCACCCTGACCGGGAGGCGGACCGGGAGGCGGGTTGTAGCCGCCGCCACCGCCGCCGCCGTAGCCTCCGTGGTGCGAGGGAGGGGGGCCGGGGGGAGGTTGGTATCCGCCATAGCCGCCGCCGCCTCCTCCTTGGTGACCTCCATAACCTCCCTGCTGGTGGTGTCCGCCGCCATAGCCTCCTCCACCATAGCCACCGCCGCCACCACCGTAGCCGTGCTGTCCTGGGTAGCCAGACATGTTGCCGAGTCAATTGACGCTGTGCTTATGCAGGATGAAGAGCGTGGGTCGTGCAAGACGTGTTTTGGTTTACACAGGCTTCGCTGGAACAGAGGTGAGATGAGTTGTGAGTGAGGTGATGTCCCGGAAAGGGCGGGGTGAGGGGCAAACCCACTATGAGCGAATAAGCTGTGCTAAAACGAGCCTTTGTTATTGGAAATGGAGACTTCCCGGCAAGCCGAGGAAGGTATAAAATCTACAGAGGAGGGTCTGAAGAGCTGCAGAAGTTCGGACTCGGAAGATTAAGAGTTGATATGAACGGAATGCGAAGGGTGTTAAGAAAGATTGTGGGGTTCGGTTGGGTGAGATGCGAGAGCGATGCGCAGAGAATCGGGTGGTCGGATTGGGGACAGCAATCCAAGGTAAGAGGAGGGGTGGAGGGGTCCTTCAGGTACCTTGCCAAGGACTTTGAGCGGTAGCGCGGCACTGCGGGAAGCTCCTGCTCACCTCAGAGCTGGGAAAGCGTGGATTGTGGCAGCTTAGGTATCCGTGATACCTTACTGCGTGTGTCGAGGTGGGAAGGGATGGGCCCCATGGAGGGGCAACGGGCGAGGCAGCCCAGGATGAGACGTCTTGAGGTCAGAGTGGTGGGGTTGGAGGGGGAAGGGGCGGTAAGGGAAACTGAACTGAATGGAAGGTGAAGGGAGGAGGAGGCCTCGGTTGCACTTGCACCACAAAAAGGCGCGACGTTTTGTCTCTTTCTGGGCAAGTGTTTGGAGTTTTCAGCTGGGATTCACACATGCCTCCATGCCTCCACGCAGTAGAAGAGAAAGAAGGAGCTCCAGAAACTTGTTCCACATCATCTGATCGCCTCTGTCCGTACTGATACGCGCGAGGTTGAGGTACGCTCTCTCACATTCTCCCGCGTGTTCGAGATAAAGCCCCAGTGTTTCACATCTTATCGCTGCCTACAAAGTCAAATACCGTCTTCCTAGATTGCTGCAGCTTGTCTCCTGGCTTGGCTGCGAAGCATGGAAGGGCTTCGCATGCGAGGCGCACTCTGTTGGTCAAATCCATCAACAAGCCACAGTCGGGATGCCTCCAAGGCTGATTCAGATGGTCCGTGGTTCAATAGGTGGCTCACGGTAGTCTTGGACTCAATGGGAGGAAGAAGCCCAAGCCACGCTGAAATGCAGGTCTCAGGAAATCATTGCCGATGAGCCCAAATGCCGGTTGAAGCTTGATGCATCACCAAATACCCATGATCAGCGACAGTTCCAACAACGTCCATGCCCAATCAAGATATACACTACCAAGACTACCTTATTCGAAAGGAGCAGGGGGTTGGCTAGCTGGTTAGGTGCATAACTGTCTGTTATGGTTCATCGTTGACCAAACTCCCATCGTCTGCCAAGACCAAGCGGCTGTCAGTTCCCTCCCCTTCCCGCGGACGGCAGAGGAGAAGGGACGGCGTGCCCAGACCTGGTCTGACGGGAAGAGAGGGCGGAAGGTGGAGGAAGTCCCATTGCTGCCCTTTTCTCTGCAACTCTGCGCAAGTCTGCACGCTATCATTCGTACATACGCGCAGTACATACAGTTGTCTGATGTCGCCACCCACCCCCAAGCCCGGAAGCCAATTCAAAGCACCGGACAGGACCTAATCCTCTTTGAGCAACGGCGATGTGGATGTGGCCGCGTACGCTTGCAGGTTCGCGGGCGGAAATAGACTCGGACGCCAAGACCTTCCCAGGCCACGCAGGCGCTAGATGGTGCCGTAGGGCAGCCTGGCGTCATACCTCACATGCTGGTGGTGATCAGGGTGCACAGCAGGGTACTGGGCTTCTTAGGTAAGGCAGGTTTTTTTACTGCGTACTCAGTATCTCTTGATGTGAGAGGGGAGGGGGCCAAAACTTAGGTTTGATAGGAGAATGTCACCAACAGGTTCAGCTGGCGACTGCCAGACATCTGTCAACCTTACCACACCTTGGGTCTTTGGCGTCGCGGCCTGGAACTGGGACTGGACTGGACCGAGCTTGATGTTGATACAATTGACTAAAATAAAGTAATACGAAGCTAGGGACGGAGCAAACCAGCATGAGCTCAGTCTCAAGCCAGGGCTGCCACTGCTAGTAGAGGGATGGCAGGCTGCTTTCTCGGTATCGGCATCCAGCCCATCGGCATCCATGTGCAGGTACCTTGCTCTTCACAGCAGAAACAGGTGGGAGCAAGGTAGCCCAGCACTAAAAATGTAGAACCATTCAATCAGGCTGAGGCCAGGCGAGAGAACGAGGGGCTACGGGCTACCATTCCTTGAGTCTTGTTTTTCTCCCCTCCCACCTATTATCTTGCCTATCCTCTTCTTGCCTTGCATCTTTACCCAAACGTCAACACACGATTCTCCTCGCTCGTCGCACGCGATAACCTACACGCACCGGCCTACGCATTGAATTATCGTCATCGTTCCTTTCGCCCAGAAGCTCGCTGTAGCTTCCTCGATAAACCTATTCCGTCCACGACACACACTCGTTTCCCGACCCCGCAAAACTCAAAAATGGTGCGTTTTCGGTCGCGCGACCCATGATGTTGCCCCTCACGTCGCAGCTCCGATATGGCCTTCGTTTCCCTGGCATCCAAAGGCTGACATTTCGACTTCGATCTTCGTGTAGGCCCCTCCGCCCTACGGACTCACTGAGGAGCAGTTCAAAGACTACAAGCAGGTCTTTTCCATCTTTGTAAGTTGCAAGAACCCTGCCTCGCACATACGTATCCCGACAATGGCATTATTGTGCATTGTCCTCCTTGGGATGAACTCCTTGCTGACAGTGGTGTTTCTTCCCTGACAGGATCGCGATGGCACCGGTCAGTCACTCCCGACTCAACGCACGCAATTAGCCTTTCATACCGAATCAGCCTGCTAGGCTTGCCATTCCCGCTGGGTTATCAGCTCATCCAGCTAACTAGAGTTGCGTATCTAGGCGCCATCAACGCGGAGGAGTTCCAGATCGCCATGAAGTCTCTTGGGCTGAACCCCAGCATCCAGGAGGTCAACGAGCTCATCGCCGAGGTCGACCCCAATAACGACGGCGGAATTGATTTCGAAGGTGCGCCTCCGTTCTGACCCGTGGCGCGATTATTAACACTGTCGCCATGGTGATTTTGCTGTCGCAACTTGGAATCCCTGCGACTAACAACGACCGCAGAATTCCTACAACTCATGAGCGAGGCACCCGCACCCTCCAGCAAAGATTCCGACACCAACACCGAGCTTGTCGCCGCCTTCAAGGTCTTTGACAAGGACAACAGCGGCTCCGTCTCGCCCTCGGAATTGCGCCAGGTGCTGCTGTCCCTCGGCCAGCGCGCCACCGACGAGGAGATTGAGGAGATGATCAGAGGTGCCGATCTCGACGGCAACGGTTCTATTGATTGTAGGCAATCCCCAATACTGCGAATTTGTACCCATGCCGGCCGCGATCGCATCAATACTGCGAGCGTCTCATCCCTCCTCGCCCACCGGAATGGCCCTGCATCACCACCCCATTCGCATTTCGCTTGCCACCCCCGCCCCCACTCAGTGTTTCTTTAATTAGCACCATCACTTTCGGGAGGATTGCGGCTGACATTGCAAAAAAAACACGACAGATCAAGAATTCGTCCAGCTCATGGCCCCGAAAGACGGCAAGAAGTAGAAACAGTATTCTGCAAACGCGAGAAGCAGCGACAGCAGCGACAAACGGTTTGTTGGCGGGGCGATCTTTCTTTGATTTTGGGTCCAATGGGTGGTGGGGAGGAAGGGGGAGGAAAAGCACACACACTGCCGCCTTGATACCCTTTCCTCATAAGGCACAGTGAGAGAGAGGATATGGATGGGTGCTTTAAAAGTGGAGGAAAACGACTTGGCAATACACATCACAATCACACACATGACACAATACATGCAAGACATTGATTGACAGCTTTGACACGGATGATTTTACACATTTTTCACCAAGGTCTTGCCTGTCTGATGCAGGAGAATATCTAAAGGGTGGGTGGTGTTTTTTTTTTTGTTGGGTGTTTTCACTCTGCTAATGACCGAGGTTGACTATTGCTATGTCGAGTCCTCCTCACCAAGTAAACAGCCCGGAAAAACCATCCTATCCCGGAAAACGACAAGGAAAAATGAGCGAAACGCAATCGCCATGTGGGTAATCGTAAGAGCAAAGAACATCTCTCTCAATGCTCAAGTGAACAAACTAGCGTGCGGTCGTACGTGAGAAGAACCGGCATCGCAAAGAAGGGGTGTGTGTGGAAGGATAGAAGAATAAAGCAGTCCGTCTTCCAAGCCGAGTCAAACAACCTCCCGTTTCCCTTCATTCCCCAATCCGTTTTCCCGTTCTCCAAAGCAAAGGCCGTGATCGCGTTCGGGGGGTTGATGGAATCAGGGGAGGCCCATCTAGTTGGTATCTTTGTGTGTTGTTGTAAGTTTGTTGCTTTGGTCGCACTCGGTATCATCGCTTGTGTTCGGATGTTGCTTTTTTTTTTCTTAACTGTTCCCTTCCTTCTGCTTGGCGTGTTACACGTTATGCGTGCGTGTGTGTGTGTGGATTAGAAGCAGCAGGTCAGGCACTCGAGGCAGCACTCGCAGGTCTCTCCGCAGAGCCAGCAGCAGCAGAGAGTGGCGATGCTATTTGTGTGTGGTCAGTTCGGTTTTGTTCTATCTCGCGCGCCGCGAGGGCTTCAAGGCTGTCCATGTCAAACTTACCAGCCGTAGAGGCAGCCCTTGTCATCCTTCTTCTCCTCCTGGGGAGGGGGAGCCTGGCCCTGGGGAGGGTAGTACATCTACAAGAGCAGTGGAGGTTAGTGTCAGGCTTTTCGCAACAGAGGGTGACTATGCCCATGGATTCCCATTCGTTCGGTGAACGGGTCGGTGGTTTGGGCGTAAGGGGGCGAGAGAACTTACGGGCTGCTGGCCGGGAGGAGGGTAGCCTTGGGGAGGGTAGCCGCCCTGGGGAGGCGGGGGAGAGCCGTAGTAGGGCCTGGAAGGGATTGTCAGTTTTTTTGAGGTATCTTCTTGATGCTTTCTCTTGAGATTTGGAAGGTGAGGTTGGTTTGGGTGGGAAGCGTGAGAAGGTGCGCGCGCGCGCGCGTATACGAGCGCCAGTGCGCAACAGGTGAAAAGAGCTTGGAAGACTTACTGCTGGCCGGGAGGAGGGTATTGAGACATGTTGATTAGGAAGGGGTTGTGATTATCGACGGAAAGGAAGAATTGACGATTTGCGAATGGAAAGCGGAAAAAAAATCAGGAAAGAGAGTGAAGGTTGCAAGTTGTAAAGTTGCAAGGGGTGCAACGGAAGTGGTGCGTGGGATGTGAAGGAAGGAAATAGGTGGTAGGATGGGGGATGGGATAGGTGAGATGAGATGAGATGGGGAGTGGGTTATGTTCTTTCCTCCCCTCCCGTCGGTCACAAATCCAATCCCAATGTTGATTCCAGGTGTGTGCTGGGATCATACCTCGTTCGAGGCGCAGGACATAACCTCGGGGAGGCTCAGAGTGAGCTTGAGAGTGAGCGAGTGGTCCTCTGGGGTTCATGTCTCCCAGCGATTCGCTGACAGCTTCACCACACATTACACGCGCGTTACGTGTAAGATACGGTTATGTCCGTACGGAATACCCATCCATCCATCGAACCCATTCACACCAAGAGACGCTACGCCTCAGACATTTGCCGTCCATCCTTGGACATCCCAGGAAGCCCAGTGAATAACGCGGAAAGGGTTCACTCTAGGCTCCCAAGGGTCCCTTTCTCGTCCGTCCCGTGGCCTGGCGTGCGTTTCCCCCTTCTGCTCATGCTGTTCCTCTTTGGTCCAACCGTATCTTGGTTGGATCATGGATCATTGGATGGCCCCCTCCCCCCTTGTGTCTCCTTAAAAAAGGGTCCTGTCTTCGGGCCCGCGGATCGCTGGTCGCGCGCAAAGGGGTTCCAGTTCCCAGTTGCGCCAACCCAACGGCGGCCATGTGGCTGATGGTCCAATACCAGTAAAGTAAAGCACAAAGAGGAGGGGAGCCGGGGATCACCTTACTGCTCGGTGCTAGGCATGGTCAACTGGTCAGAGGAAGTTGGAGCGACGATGAGCAACAACAAAAGAAAAGAGGGTCTCGGCCGGGATGCCGGGCTCTCGGCAGTGGCATCTGATGGTAAGTTTTCTGGGCATTCACACATGGGATAGGGAGTCGCCGTTGCATAAGTTGATAGGGCGGAGCAGGGGAGCAGGGGGTTGATGGGCACTGCTAGCCTGGTAGGTTGTTTAATTCGATAGTGTCCGTATATGTCCTCAGAGTCAGGCATCGCCGATTTTGGCACGAAAGTAAACCCGTTTGGTGGCTGTAGTGCTATACAATTCGGTATCCCGCACTTGAAAGACCGGATAGGGAAAGTAGTGTCAAGCTCTCGTTCAACGGGCATAAGCGACAACGGTCATACCGATTGTGTAGTGAATCATAGTGTTTTGTGTCTTGTGTTTCCTTGCGCCGCCTTTGAACGGGACAAGGCTTCTGGGGTGGATAGGACGGCACCAAAAGACCGCAAAGCCAAGAAGCCAAGGTTTTCCATCCCTCTTGGCAAGCGTACGCGTCCACCGTCCAAAAGCGTTAGGACATCTGCAGCTCCTCAGTTCGTCAGCTTTTCAAAGCTCGGCACGGCGGTTTGGCGAACAAATAGGCAGTCTCACACACTCCTTCAGTGGATGGTGGTGACTGGAGATCCATTGCCGAGCCCGTTGGGACGGCACGAACGGGGTTTTGGAGGATGCACTTGATACACTGTTGTTCTTTCTTCCTCAGACCTCTGGGACGATTGGGGGACACCAGACCCCTGGAAGGTCAGTCATATGAACAACAGTTCGCAGCAGACATAAAGGAGGGCGATGCTTATGCGGTTTCCTTTCGTCTTTGATTGTCGACGATGGTTTGATTCATCGCTGTGGCTGTGGTTTGATACCATGCAGAAAGTGCCATATGACCCGTTTCCCTCTTTTCTTCTTTCTTTCTCTGGCTTGTTTGCCCGCAGAACGAACAGCTCAGCCCACTCGATATTTCATTTGCATGAAATGGCCCCGTATCTGTACGTACAAGCAAGGCATTTCTGCATTCTGCGCTGCAGATGCACATTTGTGAAGACATACAATATGCTCGGTATTACCAGACAGGACAGGACATGCAAAGAGGTGGCATTAAAGTAAAAGGGAAAGACATGACACGGTGACACACCTTTCTTTAGCTTTTTTGCTGGTATTTTTACCGTAGGCGGTTAGACTCTGCCGTTTTTTTCTTTGGCACGTTAATTAATAAGGATAGAAACTTCGATTTGCAGGGAAGAGAGCTTCAGGTGAGAGGGCCTTACGGCGGTACCTTACCACAGTAGTTACCAGTCTGATATACTAAGCCAGATTGGGGTCCGGAAACGCCATGTTTAAACCGGGCGGGTGGGAACCGGCGGACAGGGCGGAGCGCGGGTGCGGCGAGGCGGCGCCGCTCAGGAGTACACCCAGCGGTAGGCTGCAGGAGCAAAGTCAGCAACAGGTCAAGTTCGAGACGTGCTTCATGTTTACTGTCGTATGTTTCTCTGGCCTGCCACTTCCACCTCCTGCTGCTGATCAGCCTGATCTCGCGCCTCACTCGCCCACCCACACTCGCACTTGTCATGCCTACTCTGAGGTGTCTTTACCTTGACAAGTAAGGTCACTCACACTGAGAGCTCTGGGACCTCAGGATAAGGTAGGGGCCGACGGAGCCCCATCTTGAACCCCTGCCTACGGATATTCTTTTGGTTAACCTGGTAGGTTGCCCTGGACCCTACCTTAGCCTGGCGCCCGCCCTACCAGGTCTGCAGAGCTCTGCAGCAGTCTGCAGCTGTGTGCCAATCACTTGCCTCGCTCAATGAGGTGTTTCTCCAGGAGTCCAGATATTTCGCTGTTCTCTCTCTCTCTCCCTCTTAGACTCTCGCCTATCACTTGCCACAATGCGATCTCCGTGGTCCTCCTCCTTCCCCGCCAGCGAGCACCTCATCCACCGTACCTGGTAAGATGGCCCGCATAATGATACGTATCACGATACGGAAAATGGCCAGTCTAGTTGTCCATGGAATTGCAACTACTAGGTGAGATACCCCAGCAGATGAAGTGTTAATAACTTGAGGCCTCCTACCGGATTCGGATAGACGGCAGATGGAGCCGAGTGAATTGAAACCTCATCGAGCCGTTACGACCACCCGGTGGCCTCGGCCAAATAAACTCCAGGGCGGTTTGTTTTCATTCACTGAATCAATCACACTCATAACTGTGACTCTCGTCCAAAGTCTGAGGTGAAAATGGGAGGGATCCTGAAGCAGGCACCCCGTACTCCGTACTCTGTACCCCCTACCTTACCTGAGCTGCGACGGGGGCAGGCAGCTTTTCGTCCAACGATCAACCTCACTTGCCGGCCCGTTCCTTTTCTGACTGGCCCAATGTCTGTCTGGTCTGCAGTCTGATGATTTGATGTGTGTGAGGCCGGGCGTGAAGCATGAGGTGTGAGGTGTCAAGGGCCCGCAGGATGTCTTCAAAGCTCGGCGCGCTGGATAATCTGCGCCGCCGGGAGGGAACCCATCGGAGCCCTCACACAATCACGCCGCACCAGGCAGGAGCACCTCACTTTACCTCACCTGCCTTT